ACATTATCGGTGGACTTTCTGCTATGATAAAGACCTAGAGAGCACCCCCATTCCCATCTTCCCTTAATTTCCTTTTTTTAAAGATTTTATTTATTTAGTTATTTAGTTATTTATTTGAGAGAGAGAGAGAGCATGCAAGTGAGGGGAGGGGCAGAGTGAGAGAGAAAATCTCCAGAAGACTCCCTACTGAGCACAGAGCCCCACATAGGGCTTGAGTTCACGGCCCTGAGATCATGACCTGAGCTGAAACCAAGAATCGATGCTTAACTGACTGGCACCCCCCTCCCTTTCACTTCTATTCTGAAGACTTCAGGGAACCAGAAATGGTAGTGAGCAGAGAAGCCATGTGATGACATTTGCATTTTAGAAAGACCAGTCTAGAAGCATGGTGGGGAGTGGGGCAAATGAGGGAAATGGCTTCATGGTAAACCGGATGACAGATGCCATGGGTTTGCATTAAGGGAGTAGTGCTGTGAATTGAGGGAAAGGGTAGCATTTGAGAGAGAACTGGGAGACTGAATGAACAGGACCTCGAGAATGAGTGTCTTCTACTTTACTTTGCCAAACACAACCTTGATCCCAAAGCCCTTTCATAAAGACCACAAATCCCAAAACCTGTGGTTCAGCCTCTCCATACAGAAAATCTTGAATACAATCTCCAGAGAATAAAGTTCTCAAAAATTCAAAGGAAACTCATTCCCAGCTTGAGTTTAGGGTTTAATTCACAGAGGTGGTTAATGAAGGGGGAATTCTTGTTATCAGTTCAATAGACATTTGATAAACCATTCATCAAAATTCAATGCTCCTGTCCATTTTTAAAACGCGAAAATCTCAACTTTGAAAAGAGTTATCCCAAAATGAGAGCCAACCTTATATACATCGGTGTGAAACATTAGAATTCCCCTTAAAAACGAAAGAAAAACAAAGTGTTTTAAAAGCCCAATAGTTCCATTACTTTTTCATTTTATTGAGGTATAATTGACAAAGAAAATTGCAAGATACTTAGGGTGTACATTGCAGTGATTTGGAGTATGTATACAGTGTGAAAGGGTTCCTACTGTTTAGTTCATTAACACACTCATCACCTCACATATTTATCTTCTTTGTTAGTTTTTGGTGAGAGCAATTAAATTCTACTCTCTTAGCAAATTTCTTTTTTTTTTTTTTTTTAAGATTTATTTATTTATTTTAGAGAGAGATGGAGAGCACAAGCAGGAGGGGCAGAGGGAGAGAGAGAATCTCACACAGACTCCCCGGTAAAGGCAGAGCCCCATGCGGGGTTTGATCTCATGACCTTGAGGTCATGACCTGAGCCAAAACCAAAAGTCGGACACTTAACTGAGCCATCCAGGCACCCCTCTCTTAGCAAATTTCAGTTATATAATACAGTGTAATAACCAACTATAGTCATGTTGTACGTTAGGTTCTTAGGTCTTATTCATCTTATAGCTTTAAAAGTTTATACCTTTTTACCAACTTCCCCCTATTTCGTCCACTCCACAATCCCTGGCGACCACTTTTCTATTCTCTGTTTCTAGGATTTTGACTTTTTTTTTTTTTTTTTAGATTTGACATATAAGTGACACCGTGTGCAGTATTTTTCTTTCTCTGTTGGGCTTATTTTACTTAACATAATGCCCTTAAGGTCCATCCATGTTGTCCCAAATGGCAGCATTTCCTTCTTTTCTGTGGCTGAATAATATTTTATTGTGTGTGTATATATATATGTGTGTGTGTGTGTATGTGTGTATATATATATATATACCATATTTTCTTTATCCACTCATCCAATGATGGACACTTAGGTTGTTTCCATATCTTGGCTATTATGAATAGTGCTACAATGAATATGGGAGTGCAGATATCTCTTCAACATCCTGTTTTTATTTCTTCTGGGTATATGCTCAGAAGTAGGATTGCTGGATCATATGGCGGTTGTATTTTTAATTTTGTGAGGAACCTCCATACTGTTTTCCATAGTGGCTGCACCAGTTTGCATTCCTACAGTACATAAGAGTTCGCTTTCTCCACATTGTCACCAATATTGTTATCCCCTGTTTTTTTGATGATATTCATTCTGTCAGGTGTGAGGTGATATATCATTTTCATTTAGCATTTCCCTGGTGATTGGTGATGTCATGCTCCATTATAGGTCTTCTTTGGAAAAATATTTATTCAGTTCCTCCGACCAGTTTTTAATTAGATTGTTTGTTATTTTTTGCTATTGAGTTGTATGAGTTGCCATTATTTTTATTGCAACTTTCACACATATATATTATCTTTTACTTTCTAGAGAGAGCAATTAAAGACAAATAAAACCCCTTACATGAGGGTCTTGTGTGGTGATCTTGGACAGCAGTGAGGAAGAGAGCCCTCAGGAGACTGCGGCACTGTGCGGCCTGGTTTAGGGGAGAGGACTTTTGGGGACAGAGTTGTGGAGGCAGCTACTTTAGGACAGTCAGATCCCAGGTGGAGCTGTGACAAAGCTTGGGACACCTGTTACTCACTGGGGAACTTGTGCAGAACTCCTACTTGGTTTGTTTTTGTTTTTGTTTTATTTGAGGGAAAGAAAGAGAACTCAGGGTTGGGGTGGGGGACAGAGGGAGAGGGAAAGAGAATCTCAAGCAGACTCCCCGCTGAGCACAGAACCCCCGTAACGGGGCTTGATCTCCCCACCCTCAGATCATGACCTGAGCTGAAACCAAGAGTCCGTCTCTTAACCATCTGAGCCACTCAGGCACCCCAGAACTCCTACTTGTAAAGGAATCTGTTAAACAAGCAGAGGGGTGGTGGTGAGGGGAAGCCCCAGAAGAAGATTGTGGTGAAAACTGTCCCCAACCTTCTCCATCAGTTGGGGTTTCACCTTTTCATCTCCTGAGGGAATAGCCGATGCCACTCTCCCACCGTCCTCTAGGGGCGCTGTGATCCCCCACAATGCTCAAGGCCAACTTGTTCGGTTCCTTCACTTAGTTGAGTCAAGAAAGAAAGGTTGGTGGCAGTTTTCCAGACATAATTTAACCAAGATACAAACTTGTAAAAAAGAATTCAGAATTTTTGTACAGACACATATTTGGCACAGATGCAGTTATTTTATTTCTATATTTAATGTTATTTTGTTTCTATAGTTAATGTACTTATTATTTATCCTACTGCTCACTACCTGATTCTCAAAAGGAGTTGGAATGTTTTACAAATAAAGAGAGATGCTATCAGAACATTAAAATAAAGAAAAAGAACAAGGTCCATGAATTGAATTTCAGGACCAAGGTGGGGGGATTCAGTTAGAGAACAAAAACAAAAACAAAAACAAAAACAAAACAAAACATACAAACAGCCTCTGAGCCTCCTTGGAAACAAGGCAAAAGGGAAATTGTCCATTAGATGATAAAATAAAATTGACCAGTTTGTCAAGAGAATATCAATTCTTTAAACAACAAACAACAACAACAAAGTCACTGAAGTCTAGCCACAGGTTGTTAGATCACATTGTTTACCAGGAACATAGACACCAGCTCTTTTTCTGATCTCTCCTGGTCCCATAGGATTTCCCTGAAACATTTCCACCCTCTGTTGGTAAGTCTGGTCCTACTCTTCCGTAAAGGCTATATCTTTGGCTTCTTCTGAGCTGTCACTTTCTGAGCAACCATGGGGCTCCTTGTGGGTACCTTCTTTATATCATTGATCACCTCCTACCACATAGCATCTCTTCCTACTTCAAAGCTATGCCTCTCACTGGACCAGTGAGTACATTCTGAAAGTACCCTGCTGAGGGATGCTTAGAGGTTCCAGTTTATCAGCAGAGCAGAGATGATTAGCATTCCTTATGCCTAATGAGGGATCACATCCTTCCTAGCTTAGATCATCAACTTTCCCAATGGTGCCAGGGGCTCTCAACTCCTTCTTGGGTGTACCACTCAGAGAGGTGACCTTAGATTAGAGAGTTCCTCAAAGTCTAAAGTGTACTTGAATGTGTTGAAATTATTTGTACAACTTCATGTGGGGATTACATATATATGAACACAGTTCTCTGGTAAGAGGGTCCACAGTCTTAATGATACTCTCCAATGGACTCATAACCCCAAAGAAGTTAAGGATCATTATTGTAGAATTCTATCACTACATATGTGTAATGTATAAGACTTTCACTGTGAAATCACGTGCACATAAGGAGGATGGTCTTCTTTTATCTTGACCTTAGGGCTGTATCTTCTATAACCACTGCTCAGGATAAGGCAGGGATCTTCCTTAACTAAAGTTAAGTTTTGGGCCCTACCAAAACTAAAATCAATTCAGTGTCTCTAACCCTTTTTTCTGAACTTTTCTATGTTGCCAAATCATAATAAAACTATAATGAATATATCTATAGTGCTTTCTGGTTTCTAAACTATATCCAGATACATCATCTAATATGATCTCCACAATAACACTGAAAGGTAAAGCATTATAGTCTCCATTTTACAGATGAGAAACCTCAGACGCAGAGAGATTTAGTGGCTTATTGAAGGTGTTGCTAAAACTAGTTGGCTCTGGGTCCGTTCTGGAATCGAATTCTGTGATGTGTTTATAGTCTAGTCTATCTTCCAAGGACCACAATGAAATTGGAAAAACTGGACTTTCAGCATAGTTGATACCATCCCAAACCACTAATACCTCTTCCTGTTGGTTTAGCCTTTTTAACTCGATGCTCTGAAATGTGATCTCAGCCCCTTGGTACACACATCATAAATTACTGCTCACCATATATATTATAGTGATCCACTGGGGGTGGCTCACATTATTAGCATGTACAATGTATATTAAGCCTTGGATACATAGACTAATGCCCTGATCACAGAGTTAGCCACAATAACAAATACAATGGTGGGGGGTGGGAGGTCTGATGGTGGTAATGGGAGCTTTTCTTTATCTGAGATGGACTTCACTTGCTTTAGACCACTTGCCCGAAAATGATTTGACTCTTAATCCATCAAAAAGTACTTACCCTGAACTTACCCCCACAGGAGGCCTACGTGACTCAGCAGGACAAAATCCGTCTGGTGGGGGAGTTGGTGACCGTCACAGGGGCTGTGATTATCCTGCTCCTAGAGGTGAGGTACCATCAGGGTCCAAGCCAAGGCCATCCACCTGGGGTCCCAGACTGAACTGCAGTCTACATTGTCTTTTTGTTTTACTGGCCTCTTCCTAGATCCCAGACATCCTTAGGGTTGGTGCTTCTCGATATTTTGGACAGACTATCCTCGGGGGACCATTCCATGTCATCATGTGAGTGTCCCTTCCTTTCAGTCTTTGCCAGAATTGTTCTAGGTCTCCCATTTACTCTCTGGGACCTAGACCTCAGTTGACTCTCAACTCCAGGGATTTCTCTCCAGTGGGCTCATATGTGTGTTTTGGGTGTAAGGACTAAGCCTGAGGGGGTACTACCCAAGTTTTCACCATGCTAGAGGGGACCAAGAGTATTTCCTCTCTCACTCCTTGTTCTCTGCACCTCCCCCCCCCCCCCCCCCCCGCAAGCATCATCTATGCCTGCATGGTGCTGGTGACCATGGTGATGCGGCTCTCCAACATGAACGGGGAGATGGTGCCCATGTCCATTGCCCTGGTGCTGGGCTGGTGCAGTGTTATGTACTTCGCTCGAGGATTCCAGATGCTTGGTCCCTTCAGCATCATGATCCAGAAGGTCAGTGCTTTCCCCAAAGCTTCCTCTGGCTTCAGCCATAGCACCTTTCCAGACAGAGTGAGGAAGTCAGAGCACACAGGAAAACACTGCTCTGAGTGAATCTAGTGGAGCTAGGGGGCCTCCAATCTAGCAGGATGGCTGTAGAGAGGCAGGTGGAGAAGGGTCACTCCACCCTCCTTCCCCTTCCCTTTCCTGTAGATGATTTTTGGAGACCTCATGCGTTTCTGCTGGCTAATGGCTGTGGTTATTCTGGGATTTGCCTCAGGTAAGAGCACTATCCCCTCTTCTACTAGGTCATAGGGTCCAGTTCTTCAGAAAGTTGGCTCGCTCTTGCTCAGTTCTCATTTGTACTCTGTTTGGCTCCACACCCCAGTAGAAACTGAAGCTCCACACCCCAGTAGAAAAAGCACACTCATATCCATAGGATCAGAGTCACTCAGGTTGGCTTAGAAGGGAGACCATGTGCTCTGAATTTATGGGCCAATAATATTCATGTTGACTAACCGCTCTGCAAGATCTTTAAAGAAGAGATAGAAGAAAGGCTTTGGAGAGAGAGGGCCATGAAATACGAAAGACTGGCCAGTTGCGGATCTCAGAAAACTATGTGGGCAAACAGAGACAGTGCAATATTTAACTCTTCCATGTCTACACTTCAGAAGAAGAAACTGAGAGAATTCAATAACACAGAAACATACTTTTTTTTTTTCCTATGTGTGATCGCAGTTGGGAGAAAAAGAAAGAATTCAAAGAGGAGGTATCAAAAAAGATTTTAGAGAGTTTGAAAATGAGAGGAAAACAGAGAGGAAAACAGAAGAAAAAGAGCTGTAAAGAGAGATTGAGGAAAGAGGGAGCAGGGACTCAGTCTCAGCCCAAGCCGTTGGTGGGGGAAGAGGGGGAGCATCAGGGTAGAGAGAGGAGCATAGTCAGAAAATAACAGCCAGAGCCAGAGGGAGGGTGAGGGCAGTGAACGAGTAGGAGGAAGTTCTTAGGGAAAGGTGCTAAGAGGATGGCAGAGTAGTAAGATTGGCAACTCAAATCCAGTCTTTAATGTCTGCAACTAAATATCCATAAGACAAGGGGATGTCCTAGGCAGTATTTGAAGTCCTCCCCCACCAACTCTAAAAGACCATGGCTTTTAGTACAAAGGACACTATTCTTGTCCTACGAATTCCCATTTAACAGGGATTCCCACCACACTAGACTAAAAAAATGCCACAAGATCTGAGCTATGAATGGGTAAAACTGTGGTAGTCTGACTATTTGGAGTATTCCTTATATTTTCTTTCTCTGCACTCTACCCCATCTGCACACATCATAAATTACTGCTCACAACATGTGTGTATAGTTATATAGTATGCATATGTTGCAGATAGTATACGTATATCATGACTTGCCAATTACAAAATGAGGTCATGATGACAGAGGAGCTTTCTGTAGATGTCCTATACCCAGAATCTCTGAAACCATCTCTTCTTGGTTGTTGTACTTGCTTTTTGATGCTTTGTCATAGACCCTGTTTCCATTCTTGAGATCACTTTGTTTATATTTCAGTTCCCCATACGGACAGGAGTCTTTTAAAGGTTCTAATGCTGTACCAAAGTTCCAGGATGCGTAGTATTATCCAGCAGGCTACACACTGAACAGGGAAACTTTCTCCATGAGGGTCCAAGCTCACCCAGGGAATCTCAGAGTGATGGATGGTTAGCTAGAGGTCACTGAGATTTTTTTTTTTTAAAGGTGCCTTTCTTTTAGTCATTTCATATGTTAGTTCTTTGAAATTGTTGGAGATTCCATGCATTCTTGTAACAAGTTATCTTTTAAATATTCTATTTTCTAAGATGTGAAAAGCAGTTAGGTGACTTATTTTGTGTGTGTGTGTAATGAGTCACCTAACTGCTTTTCACATCTTATATGTGTGTGTGTATATATATATATACACACAAATATATATATATTTATAATACACACACATAATTTATATATACATTTTGCTAAATGGCTACATATTACCACTGTCCAGAGTGATGAACTTGGTCATTTGACATCTCAGGGTTAGCCAGGTCCACATGTAGAATATGACTTACATGCATACAGTCACATATTTACATTTATGGGCATATCTGTGTGTCTGCAAATGTGTAAGTATGTGGAGATATGACTAGGCCCATACTTATTGTGATAACTCCCTGTTTCCCCATCTCCATGCCCACTTCCTGGGCGGAGCAGCGTTCTATGTCATTTTCCAGACAGAGGACCCAGCCAATCTGGGGCAATTCTATGACTATCCCATGGCACTGTTCAGCACCTTTGAGCTTTTCCTCACCGTCATTGATGGGCCTGCCAACTACGAAGTGAACTTGCCCTTCATGTTTGGCATTGTCTACTTTGCCTTCACCATCATCGCCACACTGCTCATGCTCAACCTATTCATCGCCATGATGGGTGACACACACTGGCGGGTGGCCCATGAGCGGGACGAGCTCTGGAGGGCCCAGGTGAGTTTATTAGTGGTAGTCTTACTAAGGGGAAGAGTATGGAGAGAAAAATCAAAGCAGAATATGTTATGGACTCTCTTAGGAGAATCACAGAATAATCCAGTGGGGTTGTCACCTCAACAAAGGTATATATTTGGATAGAGGAGGAGACAAAGGAGGGTAAAATGGTATGATAGGGGTAGGTTCAATACCCAAGAGCTGACATATTGATCACAGGGGAAAAGTAGATCTAATAGTCAACCTTGGGTCCAGTGAGAACTAGAAACTGTCTTATTCTTATATATTCTAGTTTTTATTTTTTTAATTTAATTATCTTTTAAAGATTTTTTTATTTTTAAGTAATCTCTACCACCCAACATGGGGCTTGAACTCACAACCCTGAGATTAAGAGTTGTGTCTCATGCTTTACTGACTGAGCCAGCCAGGTGTCCCTATATATTCTAGTTTTTAATTTGGACATTATCTTCTATTTGCTTCTCTCTGATTTTTTTCTTTATATAATTGAGGATAATACAGTTTTAGAGTTGGAATGACCTTTAGTGGTCCTCTAGTTGAGCTCCTACCCAGAGATTAATTATTCATTGGTCAAAGGGTAATTTAATATCTTCTTTAATGCTGATTAGGGCCTTATTATCATATGGATTCTGATAGTGATTAGGAGGAGGAGAGCTTTGTCTTATTTCAAAAGTTTTTGTAACTAGACATGTCCGTGTTGCATTCAGCTGAAACCTATCTTTCTACAGTTCCATTCTGTGGCCCCAGCCTTTTCTTCTCATATAACACAGGACACACCCTTCTGTATGAACACCATTCAGACATTTGAATACAGCCATCATTTATCCCCTGAGACTTTCCATTCACTTAATAATAATTACTTAGAGCCTGTGATGTGTTGGGAAACGTCTAGGAGATGGGGACACCAGCATGAACACCACAGTTGCCATCTGTGTCTTCATGGAGCCTACAGTCTGGTTGGGAAGACCGCCGTTAAACAATGGACTCCCCAGAAGCCCGTACAATTACAGTAGTAAAAGTGTCACAGAGAAGTAGAGGATGCTAAGAACAGGATGCAACAGAGCAGTCTGATGGGAAAGTAAGGAAATGCTTTCCTGATGGAGTAGCATTTAAGATGAGCCCCTAAACTTGGGTAAGAATTAGTCAGTTAAGAAGAATGAGAGAAAGGGATGAAGGTTAGGGGTTATATCAGTCAGGACTCTTGGCTACAGGGACAGAAAACCAAACTCAAATAGACTTAAATAAAAAAGGCATTGGGAGGAGGATGTGTCGGTCCTCATAACCGGGAAGTTTAAAGAACTAAACTAGCTCTAGGCATATCTGGCCAGAGCCTGTATCTCCATTTCCCACATGACATTAGTTTCTCTTTTCTGCTCTCCTATCCAGACTCTCCTAAGTCAGTCTCTCCCATCATGTTGGTGAGATGTCTTCTAGAAGCTCCATATTCTCAAAGGAATGAGCAGATGTACTGCATTGCACAATTCCAGTGGCCCCTTTCCTGTTGTATTCTGTGTGCTTCCTGATGCTGTGCAACATGTAGCCCCTCAAAGAGCATCTTTCCCCTGAGAACCCAGTCTAAGTTCCATCTCACTGCAACAGGTTTGAGCCATAAGTGCATCCCTGAATTTGAGGTTAAGGCCAAGGACTGGAGAGTGGTGATGGTGGTGATGGAGTTTAAGGAAGACTGGACTAATTAGCCAGGCCCGAGTGCAGTCCAGTCTACTCTAACTGATGGACAGAGTGATGAAGGGGCAATGCTCTAAGAGAAAGGGGTTCTGTTAACAGAACAAGGTGGGAGGGCTCACTTATGGCACAATAGGACACATAAATGTCATTTTCAAGATAAAGAAGGAGAAGAGCTGTATAGGAAAAGGGAACAAATGATTGAAAGTCCTGAGGTTGGAGGGAACTTGGTGCAAGTAAGAAATCGAGTGGAAGAACATGACATGGGGAATTGGGCTACTTTAAGGATTGCTAGTGCCTTCAACTAACCAAGATCATGGTCCTTTCAAAACTAGAGTGGTCCTAATAGGATTGGAGGAATGCAGTATAAAGAGGGTCATATCTTTCCTTGCTTGGGACACTTTAGTATAAGTGGCACCTGAAATTGAGCCAGGTCTTTTAGCACATATACAATTTGCCCTTATCAAGGTCATGATCAACTAGAACCCCTGCATCTTTATTATGCAACTTAATTAGTGAAGCTCCTTGGCCATTCTCCCGTACTTACACAGATACTTTGGTCTTAAACATAAATGTGTAGGACCTTACATTTGGTTCTCTTAAATTTCACATTATTGGTTTTTGACCAGCATTCCAGTCTGGTGAAATCATTTTTATATTGCTTCTTCACCTCACATATTACATATCCCTCCCAGTTTTGTGTCACAGGCATATTTGATAAGCTTGTCTTCTATGTTTCATCTAAGTAATTAATGAGGGCTGGTCAAAGGACAGAAAATGTGATGTGCCACTAGAATTTTCCCTGCCAAGTTTACAGTCATTAACCCACTCTTTTCCTTTGTAGGATATGGGTATTTAATTTGCTGCAAATTCCCTAAACACCAGCGGCATCATTTCACCTCCACCATCATAGAAATTCTATTTAATCATTTCATTTAAATCAAGATAGCTAGTCTATGGCTTTCCTATGAAAAGGCAAATGAAATTAGTTTGGAGTGACTCATTTTCTATGAATGTGAATAGTAATGTAGGGGTCACGGTTTTATTGAAAACACTCATAAAATATTCTCTCTCTCCTGGTTACGATGAATGATGAGTAAAGCAGATAGCATGATGCCTGGCACTGGCTAGGGCATGGCTAAAAGACTGTCATCTTCCCCAATCCCTGGTATCCCCATCTGACAGGTACTTCTTGGTCCCTATGTCGGTGGCCTCCAGTGTCCCCTGAAACCTCATGACTCTTGCTGAGTTTCCTCTACCTTTCACTCCTCCCAGGTGGTGGCTACCACGGTGATGTTAGAGAGGAAGCTGCCTCGCTTCCTGTGGCCTCGCTCTGGGATCTGCGGGTACCAGTATGGGCTGGGGGACCGCTGGTTCCTGCGGTGAGTGACAGTGTATATGGGTAAACTGCCAACAAGTGTGAGGCCATGGGAGTGGGATGACCAGTTCCACATTTATCACACATCTTTTCATTCCTGAGATCCCCAATTGGATCCAAAGGAGACATCATCACTCTATAAAGTGAGACTGCATTAGCCTGTTTAAGGGAGGTGGGTGGAGCTGATGAGGAGGGTGACAAGACCACTAATAGCTGATGCCAGGCTGCGAGTACATCAGGGCAATAATGTGTGTGAGGCTATGTATGTGTCCATGCTCAGATGTGGGCATGGGCTACCCAACTTTTTCTAGTCTTGTTCCTACCTGACCCCCATTTCTAGTATATTCTTGCCTTGAAGCTAACCTTCTCCATACTCTACCTTCAGCTCCTGACCATGGTCTTCCCTCTCTCTCCATTTTCTCTTTCATGTTCACTATTACACACACACACACAAACACACACACACACACACGCAGGCCCCACTACTCTCCAAATCCTGACTGCTTACCTTTTTGGTCTCTATCCCACTTTACCCTCCATTCTACTGCACTTCCCTTCATTTGATCCTGGGACTCTGGTCCCTTCCTTCCCCTGTCCTCTCCTTTTCTCTTCACCTCAACTGAGTCCATTCCTCTTTGCCCTCCTCAGAGTCGAGAACCACCATGATCAAAATCCTTTGCGAGTGCTTCGCTACGTGGAAGCTTTCAAGGGCTCAGACAAGGAGGATGGACAAGAGCAGCTTTCTGAGAAACAGCCCTCTGTTTCTGCGACTGAAAGTGGGACCCTAGCCAGAGCCTCTCTGTCCCCCCTGACCCCCTCCCTGTCCCGGACCACATCTCACAGCAGTAGTCACCGGGGCTGGGAGATCCTTCGTCGTAACACCCTGGGACATGGAAATCTTGGGCTGGACCTTGGCGAGGGGGATGGAGAGGACAATATCTATCATTTATGATGAGGACCCTTGTTACCGTTGGCCTGACAAACAGGTGGGCCTAGATGGGGAACGGTATCTAATTTTCATGCCTGTTAACTGTGGGGAGGGGGTCAACAGAATAATTCTTAAAGGTCATGTCTCATCTTCACATCAGCATTTCTGGAGATGGGCAATGGGCATCTGTTGCCCCACATAGCTCCTGGGCTCCTGGAAGTCCCACATCTTGAGAAAAGAAGGTATCTCTTCAAGGAAAGTTGGACTTGGCCATCAAAGACAAGAGATAGGGATGCTAGACCAACATGTGGATCATCTTTCTTTCTGCCTCATGCCAGCCCTAGACCGTAGTAAGCTGTGAAGCCTGCCTGGTTCCACAAGGCTTACCGTGGGAAGAGCCAGGTGTGGCACTGAAGTGGCCCCTCCCTTTTTCTTATACCCCTGTAGGACTCTCCTTTCCTGGCAACCAAATCCCAACTAGAAAACTGCAAGAAGAAATGTCCTTTATTCTTGCCTGATTTTTAAATAATTTGATTGTGGGAAGATACACATAACATAAAATTTACTATTTTAACCACTTTCAGGGATACAGTTCAGTGGCATTAAGTCCACTTACATTGTTGCATCACCATCACTGCTCTTCATCATAGGACAATTTCATCACCCCAAACTGGAATTCCTGTACTCCTTAAACACGAAGTCCCCACCATACCTCCGCACAGCCCCTGATAACCAATATTCTACTTCGTGTCTATGAATTTGCCTACTCTAGATACCTCATGGAAGTGGAATCATGGTTTATTTCACTTAGCATAATATTTTCAAGATTCATCCATGTTGTGGCAGGCATCAGAATTTTATTCCTTTTAAAGGCCAAATAATATTTCATTATATGGATAGACCACATTTTGTTTATTCATTCATCCATTGGTGGACATTCAGGTTGTTTCCACCTTCTGGCTATTGTAAGTAACACTGCTATGAACATTGGTATATAGTTCTCTTCGAGTCCTTGCTTGCAATTCCTTTGGGTATATTGCTTGATGTGGAATTGCTGGATCTTATAGCAATTATTGTTTAATTTTTTGAGAAATTGCCACACTGTTCGTTGTTTTTCTTTTTTCTTCTCTCCCTCCCCCTCCTCCTCCTTTTCCTTCTCCTCCTCCTCCTTCTTCTTCTTCTTCTTTTTCTTCTTCTGATAATAACCATCCTAATGTGTATGAAGTGGTGTCTCATTGTGGTTACGATTTGTATTTCCCCAATGACTAATGACAATGAACATCTTTTCATATGCTTATTGGCCCTTTCTATATTTATTTTTGGAGAAATATCTATTCAAGTCCTTCATCTCTGTTTAAATTGTGTTGGTTTTTTTGTTGTTTTTTAGTTGTCTTATCCTTGCTTTTTGAGGCTCACAGCCTAACGTGTTTGTATCTTATTTGTGTCCAGGTGTATGTTTAAATAAGTGTGGTAAATTATGCCTTTCTGTGCTTGAACAGCTCAATCATTTCTTTTATGGGACTGTCCCTGGTCTGTCCCTCAGGTGGCTCATTAGCAGCTAATCATCCTTGTGCATGGAGGTAGCAGGCTCCTGGCTACGTCTCCTCCAGCAGCCATCCTCCACCCCCACCTCCCTCTGCCCCTGTGCTGAGTTGTGGGGTGGCAACAACAACGCAGGATGGGCCATCCCTATCTAGGGAGGAAACTGGGAGATAGTGTCCAGGGCACCCAGTACTGGGCTCATGACAGTCTCCCTCTTGTCTCCAGTCCGTTGCACCTCACCCTAGCCCTATCATCACCTTCACCCGAAAGCCATAATATCTTTTAAGAGGACTGTGGTCTGGAATAGCAAAAAGGTACATGGGATTTATGAAACCACTGGTAGATTCTTGTAGATACTCATACAAAGCACAGATGAGTGTGGAACAGTGAGGGATCACATGAATGTACAGGCACAGGGTCCTACACACTCGGCCACAGGTTGCAGGGTTTCTAAAAGTGCTCAGTCATCGTGATTCCTCTTATTTTCCTTACAATGGAAGCACTTCCTCTCTTGTGTAAAGCTAAACTCCCATCTGAGTTCCAGACTCAGTTTTCTTTCTGTCTCTTCAGATAGCCGTGTCCATCACTGTCCCCTTTTGTGTATCTTCTCATTTGTGTATCTCACCCCCTCCCTCTCCACTAGCTCTGGGGGTTAGCAAATAACCATGCTCTATCCTTTCCCATATTCAAAGAAATGGCAAATACCCTCCCTCAACCCTTCTCCCTCCTTCCAGCAACTGCCCTCTTTTCTATTCCCTATTCAGGGCCAAACTTCTTAGACACGACTCCATTGTCTACGGACCTCACACTGAGTCCTCAACCATTGTGATTTGACCTTGCGTCTCCATGCTACTGACATCTCTCATGTTATCTACCTCTGGCTAAGCTCACTGAAGTCTCAATCTTGCTTGAACTCTCGGTAGCCTTCAGACTACGGTCGACCACTCACCACCTCTCAGCACATTAGGGCCACACGCTCCTACCATGCTGGCTGCTGCATTTCTACAAAAATCCCATAAATATTTTTGGTCCACAAGGCTCTCTGTTTTTCTCACCACCTGGGCAGTCTCACCTGCTTCTGCAGATTGTATTAACATGCACATGTTCATGACTCCCACTCCCTATCTTTGGTTCAGATCTGTCTCTTAAGCTCCAGGCATGAACAGCTTGGATGCCTATCTATTAGACAGCTGAGCCTGGATATTTTACAAACACCTCAAACTCAACATGTCCCAAATGGAACAGCTTTTTTTTCCTCACCAAACCTGCTCCTCCACCAGAGTTCCCTACCAAATAATAGGCAACGTTGCCTACGCCAGAACTTGGGCGCCATCTTAAACACATTTCTGTCAATTCTCAAGTCCTGTAAATCTCAAATCTTGTGGATTCTGTTCCCTAAAGCATCTGCTTTGAAAAGAATTAATTTTGGTTAGATCATACATGACATAGCACAGAATTCAACAAGCACACAAGATATACAGGGGGAAAAACTTTCCTACCTCTGTCCTAGCCCCTCTGGTGTTCTCTCCAGGGACATTCATTAATAAAAGTTTAACAATCCTTCCAAAAATACTCTGTATATATCCAAGCATATGTATGTATATATTCCCCTTAAAAAAGCATGTAATTGTACAGCTTGTTAGAAACAGTTTTTGCTTTTTTCACTTAATACATTTTGAAGACTGTTCCATACCAATATAAAATCTTCCATTTGTCTCTGCCTCTCTGAACCCTACTGAGTTCCAGGAGTAGTTTCTTAACTGCTTTCTTTGCCTGCAGTCTTGGTCTTCAATCCATCATCCACACTATGGCCAGAAGGGTCTTTGTAAGACACAAGTCCTGCCCCCAAGTGTGGTCTTCTGGAAGCCCTCCCTAAGCTGACCCCAGGCAACCCTCCAGCCTCCTCTTCTCTCAGGCTCTATTTCACCAAGCTGGATTTCTCTTAGTTCCTGGATAGTGCTGGGTTCTTCTTCTTCTTGGCCTCACAATTTCTGGACCTTTCTACCTCCCTGTGCCCATTCTCCCTTCCATCTTTCTGACTTCTAGTCATCTTGTTGGTCTCAGCCTCATGATTGTACATTGGTTGTGTGTGCATGTGCGGGGGTGCTGACCAGTAGGCTAGGTTTGAGTCCACCTGCTCTATGTTTCCAGGCTACCTACATTTTCTTTTTTATCACACATCCTGCACCTTGTCAAACTTATTTGTTTCAATGTCTGTCGTCTTTAGTAGACTGTAAGCTCCACAAAGACAGAGATGGTGCTTACTTATTCATCACTGTGTTCCCAGTGTCTGGCATAATTCCTGGTTCAATGTAGTGTGCAATAAATATTCATTAACTAGATCTATGAATGATTGACTGGTTTTTATTCTAAGCTCTCTCACTGGCCATACTTGAGTTTTTTTCCACCTGTCAAAGGTGGTAAAAAAAAAAAAAATCTGCCTTTGAGTTCGGTTGTAATAATCAAAGATAATCACATAATATGGGTAGAAACACTTTGGAAAGGATAAAAACCAATGCAAATGTGATTATTGGGCATTTTTTTTTTAGGTTAAAGATGCTTCTGTGTGTGTGTGTGAGAGAGAGAGAGAAGAGCGAGGGGAGGAGGAGGAGGCTGAGGAAGAGGAGGAGATGTGGAATATCATAAGGAAGAGGGAAAGGAGGGAAGAACCCCAACAGCAAAGCTCTGGGACAGATCTTACTGAACCTCTGATATGTGGGTCCCTCTGAAAGAAGCATTCGAGGCAGTATACCAGATTCTGCCCCTGCCCTCTGGAGCCCAGGTGAGCAAGAAGCAGCCTGCACGGACATCGGTATCGTGCACAGCAGATGCAGCTAGTGAACCGTGTGCTGAAGGGTTAAAATAGCTGGCAGATGTTTTGTGCTGCCAGGCAGATGCCAGGTTTATTCACGGGGCTCCAGAGACAGGGGCGGAGAATGGGGCAAAAGAAATGCCGATGTTCCTGCCTCAGGAATTCTTTGGGTACCCCAAACGGTTACCATTCTCCCTTCCTGTCTCCTCCCTCCCTGGTTACTTCAAAATACAGAATGCAGGAAATCCTTGCTCCTGGGCGCCTCACAGACCAGTGGCAGGAAGGCACAGGAGGTTTTGCTCCCACAGGCATCACTGGACTTGAAAAATACGTCCTCTCCTAGCTGTTGACGAAGGGTTTTATTGGCACGCTGCTGGGTTCTGGTGAGAATGGTTGGGTAGCCCTGGGGGGATGGCCTGCCTGCGGCCTTGGGAAGCAAGCGCAGAGGTCAGGGTCCCTCCCTGGTGCTGCTGTGCTGGAGAAGTGCGAGGTAAGGCGGGGGGCACTGAGACTGACCAAGCGGGGAGAGCAGAAGGGAGAGATGAGGGAAGTAAGGGCTGGCTCTGGAGGCCCCTGGGGCCGATGCACAAGGCAGAGACAGGCAGAGAACTGGAGCTGGAGGAAGGGCAAACGGTGGTACCCATTAGGCCCCTGCACACCCGAGATCACTCAGTGGACAGCTGAGAAAATGCTTGACGGGTGTCAGTAATCCTTGACTTCTCCTGGCCAAGCCCATTCTTAAAGGCTAATGAAGGAAAAATGAGAAATGTGCAAGGAAAGAAATACTTTGACCGGTGTCACACCAACAGGAGAGGCCGGGTAACGTGGCCCCCTGTCTCTGCCAGGGAAGAGGGGGGCAGCCAGGCAGGAGCCACCCGGGGCAGGACTGGACACACCTGCCTTTGTTTGTGCCACTTCTTTGTTAACCCTGGCGCTGAGGAGGCAGCAGTTACGGCCACGTAACGAGGGAGCAAGGCTTGTGCAAGCCAGGCTGCAGCTGGAGGGACCGAGCGTGGGTCCCCACTCGCCCGCGCAGTGCTCGGCTCCGGTCACGGGAGACCTGCGCATGCGCGCGTGCCTGGCGATGGTTCTCAAAGGGCCGATCTCCCTCCGGCCGTGCTTCCTTCTCCTTCCCTTCCCGCTGCTGGACGGGCTTCCCTAACTGACCAGGCTGTGGAGCCCTTTAGGGACGACAGGTGCAGGTAAAACCCAGTTGCAGCTCCCCGACTCTGCCGTAGTATTAGCTGATCGCCTGTCCTGCCACGGTCGTGGTAATAGCCGCACGCACGTGGAAGCACGTGGGTCACTGAGACTGTCCGGAGGTTACCAGTTGTCATGGCAGTATCTCTGCCTTCCCCTAGTTCACTTCTCTGATGCTCTCACTCCCTCTGCTGTTCCTTAACCCTAATGGAGCACCTCCTTCTGATTCAGGAACAAGAAGGTAAGGGAGAGAGAGGGAAATCGGTGACTGTGGATCCACTAGGTGACCCCTGTCCGAGTCCTTAAAGACTGCCTCCACCCTGGGTCAGAGAACATCACTCCCAGACTCCGACACCTGCTCACCTGCTCACCTGCTCACATAAACCAGGTCCAGAGAGGACAGTGGCAAATTGTTCTTCCTTTGCCCAGGCTGCCTCTTCACCTTCTCTCTCCCTCCTCGTGTGAACCTGGTAGGCAAGAAGACAGCACCCAGGCCCTGTGGCCTCTGTCCCAGCATCCTCTAGGCCTTAGGTCAGGGGGACCCCTCCCCCCGGCTCCCCGGCCAGCCGGGGAGGTGGTGCTCAGGGTGGGAGGGTGGGCTGGAGGGAATGGCTGCTGCCCCAGGTGCTTCGCCTCACATACCACACCCTCCCCTCCATCCCAGGGGCTCCTCCTTCCCCACCTTCTGCAGGCTAATGAATCCTCCAAGGGCGGAAGTCATTTTCTCTATGTGTGGGCTGGGGATTGACAAACACCCCCCCCTCCTCTCAGGACACACACACATACATACACATGCAGGGTTCCCTGCCATGCCCCCTTGTTCCCCTGTCACTTTCGGGGCCCCTCTCTTGCACACTGACCCACCTTTGCCTTCGGGCCCAGGAATGGAAATGTACCCACTAAATACCTTGCAGTTTCCTCGGCACAGATCATTCTCCATAAAACACAATTCAACATATACTCTATACCAGGTGCTCTGATGGGGAGAAAGAAGATGTGATGTGCTCTAACCTCTTTCTGTGAGGCTCTGCCAACTGGGGCAGACAGGCAGGTAAGGGGACAGTGTTAATGCAGTCCTATCCTTCAGATGGGGCATGAAGAAGGGACTAGAGCACAGAGGAGGCGGGACCAGCCCTGGCAGAGGCAGGACAAGAGACGATGTGATTTTGAGTTAAGCTTCAAGGGATGAGCTGGAGTCTATGAGCCAGATAATTAATGTGAGGCCTCTTGCTGAAATGGGGCAGGATTGACGTGGTTCTGAGGGCTGGTGTAAAGGAAATGCCACAGACCCTATTTCATCCCTGCTCAGTTCGATGGAACTGTCTCTGGGAGGGACAAGGGGTGAGGTCTGTGGGATGGACGGTACAGAAACCCACTCTGTGCAGGTGGCAACCACCCGAGGTCAGGGCTGCACTGGTCCCATGGAGGGGGGAGGGGGATTTGCCCCCCGGAGGGTAAGCTGGTTACTGAAAGGGCTTCAGGACACAAAAACAGCAACGGAAGAGAGGGACGGAGGACTAGGAACAGAGGCTCTCACTGTGCGTTCCCTGTGGGCCAGGAGCCTCACGCGGGCTCACAAGGAGCCTGCGCGCCAACTCCTGTCAGCCTTTTATAGACAGGCCGCGAGAGCCCAAAGAGGGGCAGCTCCTTGCCTAAGGTCACATGAGCATGACTGCTCATTTTGTGGACAGGGAAACTGAAGCTCGGAGGGGTGGCCTAATTTACCCAAGCTCAACTAGTAATTAGCAGAGTCTGACCTGCAACCCAAATGTATTTGGTCTCAAGGCCCTTGCTCCTTCCCCTACAAGATTCACGGCCCCTAAAACAAGAGAGTCTAATGTTTCTACTAGAAAGCTATTTCCTGGATGTTTCAATTTCAAATACTCCCACCCAAGCAAAGATGATAAAGCAAATGACTTGCATTCATGCGACACTGTGGGGCACGTAAAGTCTTCTGCGCCCATTATCTTCTCTAACCCAGAGAGCAACCCTGTGGAGTAAATAGGGCAAGATTTCTATCCTCATTTTACTGATAAGGAAGCTGATTCTTGGAGAGATTGTAGGATTGAGGTCACAGATCTCACCAATGCAGAGCAGGACTTCTGGGCCCCTGGAGAGACCTATCCCCACAATGGCTCCCTCGCTCGCCTGTGTGGACAGATGGGCAAATCCGACCCAGGTGGGAGGGGCGCCACCCTCTACACCCAGCCTGCAGTGAGGGCTGACACGGAGGGTAGAACGCAGAGGCACCCAGGCGAGATGCTAGCTCATGGCACTTGCATACCTAGCCAGTAAGCATTTTAATACATCCATCAGCCTCCCTCGACAATGGGCACACAACCTCGAATCACACGCTAGCACTTTCCGTGTAGACTCCGACAGGCAGCCTGTGCTCTGATGTCTCCTGTACTCTGGTCTGTGTATAAGGATTTTAGGCCCAGCCCTGAGTGCGTCATGGTTCTTGGACTTCCCTGTAGCTTGGGAACACATCAAAGTCAGCTCTTGGAGTTGGGAATCTCAGCAAAGCCAGGAGAAGGGGGAGGGATCAGGGAGGGGACCCGGTGGCCTGAGAACTGTCCCCAGGGCACAGCATGTGGATGGCAGTGCTGATTCCCCAGGGCCTGTGAGCCGATCCCTATCAGGAGATTCCACCAAGCGCTCCCATGCACATACCGGTACCAGCCACAATGCCATGCACACAGGGTCCCACACATGGTGGGCACCATAGCGGGAAGCCCATGCCTTGTGGGCGCGGCTGGTGGGGGAGGCTCATGACAGTGAAGATCTTTGCATTTCCTAATTTCCCGGTGTCTCTTGCTGTAGTGCCTGACCAACGACCTCAGGCCCTTGGTGCCTAGGTAGGTCTGGAATAGCCCAACAGCCTGCAGAACGTTCTGCTTGGCTTCAGTCCCTCCCTTGTATCTGCTGGCCCCCTGGCCCCTGCCTCTCCACCTAGCTCTCAGCCTCCCACCACGCCCTGCTCAGGTATCTGCCCCAGAACCTGCCTTGCCATGGGGGGAGGTCTCCCATTCTCCTCGCTGCAGTCCATCCAAGCCCAGCTTTGGGAAGAGGAGCCCCAGCTCCTGCCCGGGTCTGCCTCCCAGAGTCCTGCACCCGAACCCCAGCCATTTCTGTCTCCCCTGTTCTGCTCCTTCCCAGCTGCTCCCTGAGTCCTCACCCGGGGCTCTCAGGAGAAAGCAGACTGCTTGCTCCCACCTTCCCCTCCCGGTGTGCATGCGCCTGTATATATGCGTTGAACAATTGCCCCTACTTTGAGAACAAGTCTGGCATTTTGCTTGTTTTTTATGACGAAGGCGCTGGGGTGTCTGCATGAGTGCTTCAGCTAAATAAATAGAATTTGAAAGAGTTCTTATCATGGCCTGTTG